AGCGCTAACACCTACTCAGCGCTAACACCTGCTCAGCGCTAACACCTACTGAGCGCTAACACCTACTCAGCACTAACACCTGCTCAGCGCTAACACCTACTCAGCGCTAACACCTGCTCAGCGCTAACACCTGCTCAGCGCTAACACCTACTCAGCACTAACACCTGCTCAGCGCTAACACCTACTGAGCGCTAACACCTACTCAGCGCTAACACCTACTCAGCGCTAACACCTACTGAGCATGCTCAGTGCTTCACCCTGTGGTTTAACAGGTAACCTTCCCTTAATGAAGGCTGAGCCTGAGAGTCTGTATAGCTGCATCACTGCAGCTCTCTCTGCAGACTCAGCCTGGCGTGATTTAGGATTTGGTATTCTGCCAGAGTTTATAAGAGCAATTACTGTAAACCTCAACCATTAGCTGAGCTTCAGAGGCCATAAAAGCTGATCGTTTTAAAGGATCAGCGTCTCAGGGCCACCCTTTAAAACTCCGCAGACTCAGTCATTAAGGGATTTAAACATGAATGTTTGTCTCACATGTCAACATTAGACATTTAAGCACAGATCAAGAAATAATAAATCCATTTCAGCTCTGCATGTCAACAATAAGTTATTACTCCAAACGACACTCTAAAAGACATCAGAAGCCTCATTCAGTTTAATCATTCTGATGCATTTTACAGTTTAACTTTAAGGTTTTTTCCTGATTTTCCCCCAGAATGTTCAGCTTAGACAATGATGGTGGTTCTAACCCAATTAAATCCAGTTCTCCTCCCAGCCACTGCCAGAGGTTCCTGTCCAATCAGAGCCCCGAGTGCACAGAGCCACGCCCACTTTCATCCACTCCCAGTAAATTTCAGCTGACTGGTTTTGAAAAAACTGGACCTGAAGGCTCTGTTGGATCCATCAGAGTTCGTGCACGAGAAAAATTAACAGAAAAAATGGTAGGAATCACCATGGCAACCACTAACTTTAAGGGTCAGTAATCCCCTGTGTCAGCAAAGCCCCGCCCCCAACCAAAGTGGGTGGAGCCAAGAGACACTAAGGGGCGTGGTCAGGGCGAAGGAAGCCCTGTTGCTAACTCAATGAACATGTAGCAACTTAAACAAAAAAATGAGCAACAAATATACATGTGCTCTTTTAAAATAGCAACAAATCTGACGAGTTTTTTAAAAAGAACAAATCCATTTGACCTTTTGAAAAAAATTTTAAAAAGCTAATTTTTTTAAAAAAAGCAATAAATCTAAAGATGTTTTTTTCTAAAGTGACGATTCCAGCAAATTTTTATCAAAACAGAAACAAACAACGGATCTGATTTTTTTAAAGGTGATTAGCAACACATCTAGATGAATTTATCTGCAAAATAAATTCATTTGTGATTTAGTTAATCTTTAAGTTTGAAAAAAAGGGCGCCAATCACCATAGCAACTGGTGAGTTCAGGGACAGTACAAAGCCTGCAGCAACAGGGAAACGGGTTGTCTAGAACCAGAACACGGTTCGTCCTGGCCCGGACGTTTCACAGCAGAACCGCTTTACGGCTGCTGGACCCGACCCAGAACCAGAAAGGCAGGCAGAACCGTGTTTCTCCTCTTCTTGACATTATTTCATGTCCATCATGTCTGCATTTACACCCGCCTCAGAAACTTCCCAGCTGTTTCATTTTCATAAATTGTCCATAAACAGGACAGTAGAGATTAATGTCGTTACTCTGACATGAAACGAATGTTTTACAAAACGCGGCGCGGATCCAAACCGGCTTTCTGGCATCAGTCGCAGAAAACCAGGAAAAAATCTTTCCTGTGCATCGGAGTGGAAACTTTCCCTTCATCATCCCGCTGACCCGGAAACCCAACTCCCAGCTGCTCCCGCGGACCAGCACGCTCTTTATACTGGGCCAACTGGGAGAGCAGCGCCTCCAGCAGCAGCTGCTACTGGAATAACTGCTGCTAAAAAATCAGTTAAATCAACCAGTGAGTCATTTTTACAGCGCGCTGTTAACACTTACTGATCATTACACAGCACGGCTTATAGCTGCTTGATCCCAGAACCGGGCCAGGGACAGAATCCGGACCAGAACCGGAGCAGCACAGCGGACGTCTGGAGGAAGATCCTCCACTCGTTACCATGGCGACCGGCCCACTCCGATGCCTCCGTCTGCTGCTTGTCAGGGCGGTCCAGTCCGACCCGGAGCCTCCTGGGTGGCGTCGCCGGGTCAGGAGGTCAGCAATGTGTGAGGCCCCGCCCCTCCCCTGGGGTCGTAGGGCAAAGGTCAGCAGGAACGTCCAGAGGATCTCCAATCAGGACGTTTACAGCTTCAAAGATTAAAGTTTGGTTTTACGGGCTGCGGGTCGGAACCACTCACTGGGCTTTTAGTTCTGGACCCGGCCAGGAGGAGGAAACGGCGCCGCTCTAAAACTGTCAGACAGTTTACTGGAAACCCAGCAGAACCTTCAAAGAGTCCGGAAACATTCCAGCCGGAGCTTCAGTGGCTCGGTTGGTTCTGTTGGGCCGAACGCGGTCGCCCTGACCTGAACCGGATCAAACAACCCGACCCGTTTACATTCCTCACATGAAAGGCTGCGCTCACAGCAGGACGGTTGGACTCGGTCCGGTTCGGTCCGGTCCCAGCAGTCTGAACAACCCGATCTGGTCCGCTCTGTGGATCTAATTATGACGTGAACTGTTTCCAAGAGTCTGAATGTTTAATCAACGGTGACATCATCAGCGTGAGACAAGCGTCTTAATTCAGCAGCAGAAGAAGAATCTGGACGTAAACGACTGAAATGATAATAATAAAGTGACGGAAGTAGCCTGAGTCGGTGAACGCATCACATCCCAACCCCACCACTGCTGATCCGACTCCATATGCAAACAGAACCAGAACCGGGTCAGAAGCTGCAGTCAATGCTAAAAGCCGCTGCTATTAGCCGTTAGCTTTTATCAGCTTCCTTCACCTGGCGACCGTCTTATGGCCGTGCTGTCGCTTTACAATCCATCGGAGACGGCGGCCATCTTCAACCTAGCGCTGCCGGGGGAGGGCAGCGCTTGTAGAGTGGTGTGAAGAGTGGCCTAGTCAAAGTGTGACCCTGTCTGAACAACATACTTTCCACAGATTGAATGATAAACCGTCCGGTCACTGGGTCAGAGGTCAAACGGAAGCAGTGTGTGCGCTGTGGTTTTCTGGTGCGTACCTTCTGTGGTCGTCTCGTAGCCGCTAACCGCTAGGCTCTCCCCTTTGGGGTACTGAGCCGACACCCTGACTTCGTAGCGGGTCAGAGGGGTGAGGTGGGGCAGGACGGCGGTGCGGGTGTCCCCTGGGACAGACATGGACACGTAGTGTCCCTCTGCGTCTTCCTCCGGCTTGAACTGGACCATGAAGAAGTCCACGTTGTCAGCGTCGATCTCCCAGGAGGTCCTGAAGCTCCTGGAGCCGATGTCAGAGAAGGCCAGGGCTCTGGGCTGGACGAGTTCTGGAGAGAGAGGCGCACAGTTAGACGTCCTGCTAACAGAACCGGGCCGGATGGACCCAGAAGACGTTTTAACAGAACATTTATTATTTCATATATTCATCAGATTCTGTTTGATTATGAAAGGGGGATTACTGCGAGATTATTTAGAAAAGTACGGACTGTCCTCTTCATGTCTAGGGAAGGCAGAGCATCTCCAGTCAGAGGCTTCTTCAGTCACTGTAACGCAGACTGCTACAGGAGATCTTTCCTGCCAACAGCCATCACCATCTTCAATAACTATTTGAAGGATCTAAATTAATGAGGTACAAAAACATTTAATTTCTCTTTGGGATTAATAAAGTATTTCTGAATTTGAATTTTTATCAAGATTAAATCATTTATTTATCATCGTTTTGTGATAAATTGAGAACAAAAGCAACATTTAAAAGTTATATAAATCAAATCATAAATGACATCATACAGGTAACGTTCATAAGAAACTTATAGGTTTCCTTCATGGACCTTCAACAGAATTTTAAAAACTTAGCTGTGCTAACAGCTAACTTTGTTTTTTGATTTATTTTAAAATAATTATTACAATTCAAAAAGTTTTGACCACAGTTTCTTTTTTTTTGATTGAGAAGTTTGTTTTTTGTTTGAAACTAAATATTTCTTGCAAATCTTAAAGTTTTGATCACAATTTAATTTTTTTTGTTTGACATGATTTTTTTGACTGAATAATTGTGAATCGTGGTGTGAATTGAGGCAAAGCTGGTAGTTTGATCAACACGTCAGGAGGAAGGAGGTATGGGTGGATTTTGAAGCAGCTATTTCCAACTTTTATAAATCCCTCCGTCTGTGACGTAGGGTTACGGTTAATAACTGAATAACTCCCGACGTCCATTATGGCTTCAGTTGCAAAGGGTCAAAATCCACACCATATTTAGCAACAGCTAACACGAAAGCATTATGCATGTATGGTATGTAGCAGAAGCTAATGCTAAATCACTGTAGCACTGTATTTGGTGGAAGCTAAAGCGCTAACGTTAACCATGTTGATACCACCGTGTGTCAATCACAGCATTTCCTTCAGCCTGTTATTTCGGCCTCAATGGGGTCAAAATTCATAATTACAGAATCAGTCGATACTAAAACTTCAAAACAACTTAAACTTTACAAAACAGCCAACAAAACCAGAGCTTTATCTTATCTGCATCTTATCTTTAACTTCCAGATACATTTCTAGCCATCAGATTTTGTTTCATGTATTTTTGACGTCATGTTCTAACTGAGTGGTTTCAGGATTACCGTGTCGCCTCCTGTGATTTTCAGATTATCCTTCAGAAATTACAGGTTAGCTATTTGTAGCCAGCTTCTGTAGCCGGTGCTCCATTAGACAGTTATTCTCTGAAACGTAAAGGTACAGAGTCCGTTTGGGCTTTAGAAGATAAATCACTTGAAGTAGATCAAACTGATGATGTCTGTTCATAAATCTGGACATAAAGTTTACCAAACCAAGAAATTGGCTTGTTTTTAATAACCTTTGTTTAAATATATCACCTGGTGGAGATCCATTAGCTGGCATATTCAGAGCGGAGTTGATTCGGGTCAGGATCATATAATTCCAGCTTCCATGCTGTGATTTCCACTCATCTGAACCAGACACCATCATCTCTCAGACGCTGAGTTTCAGCCATTTTGGGTTTTTTCTGACTACAGGCTGGATGTCTGCCAGTGGTTTTCTCCTCACCATGTGGGCCACAGATGCTTTATCCAATAAAAAGTAATAGGTGAGTTTACTTTTTAGTGTTCAGAATTAAATAATTCAAGAAAAAACAAAAATAAAGTCTTCCTTTGAAAGTCATCGCAGAGAAATGCTTTGATGGTCTTGTAAAAAGCAGATTTTATTTCATTGGATCCTTTCAGATCTGATAATGAAGGCTGCAGTTTATCCTTCTGGTCTTTATTCATCATGGCACGGTGAACACATTACGGGAGAACCCGGCCTCATCAATCACCTCTGCTTCATCTGGAAAACGTAAAGCCTCTCAATAACTCCCTGGTTCTAGGAGGCCGTTTTTCTCCGAACCAGAAGGGAGACAAACACAAATCATGGGAGCTTTCAGGAGCGCTGAAAGGAAAACGGTAGTTCAGGAGGTAGAGAGGCCGACCTCAGCTGATGGAGATGCAGAGCCTGGAGGCCCGACGGCTCCATCATGGCCGCCGCGCTCACATCCAGCCCTCATTATGTAAGGATTATATAATCAGCGATCAGAGGCGGCGTGAGTCACCTCAGCTGCAGGAACGCCGCGCTGCGTCTGAGCAGAACAAAGAACCTGCTTCAAAGTCGGCTTTTATTTACGTGACGGCGGCGACACTGAGTCAGCTGCAGAAAAACAACACTTTGACCCAGTTTTACTGTTTCCACATGCTGGACTGGCTCTGGACTCGGAGATCAAAAGGTGCCATGTGTCTTACACATCCAGGGAAACGCGGCCTGGACACAGGAAACATGAAAGCAGCGTGAGATGAGGGGCGCAGCTTTGAAGGCTGCTCGGGTTTCTGCTGTTTACGACTCCAATTAATTGTTTTGGCAGTCGAATTATTTCAGATACTCGAAATGAAATTCACATGGGCCAAAGTGAGAGGACAGTAAGGAGCAGAAAGCCTCCCTGGCTGATCCAAGGACTAAATGTCCTTCCTGTCGTCTCCAACATTAAACTCACAGAAAACTGAAGCTCAGCTCCACCTTCTCGCCTCCTTACAACCAAACTAACATTTCGGTCCTTTCCAGCCGCAGTCAGACACACAGCGGCTATGATTGGCTGCCCACCGGCCAATCAGAGCTCAGGAAGCCTCCTCTGTAACCAATGGCTGCGGCAGAAGAAACATAGAGCAGCTGGAATAAATTAAGTTCATTAAACCTGCAGGTTTCATAAAAATATTAATTCATCCCCTAATATGATTAATATTGCAACAAAATTCTCTTATTATTACAACTTTGTAATATTATGACCTAATTACTATTTTCATAGAAGAACAACTTTATTCACACATTGCTGCTACTTTGGTTTTGTATTGTTACAACTATTCTCATGTTATAACGACTATATTCTCCTAATATTACAACTTAATTATTGTACTATTATGACTTTATTCTATTTGAAATACAACTTTATTATGAAATAAAGTTTGTGAAATGTGACTTGTTTCATAATTTGTACGTGTCATCAGATTTATTTTAATGGAACGACTTTATTCTTGTATTATTTAAACTTTATGCTGCTAATGTAGAAAACTCTCCTGGATAACGGCCTGTTGCTGCGCCTCAGAGCAGCGCCTCGTCTCCAAACGAAACATTTATCATAATGTTTCAGAACATTATCATAAAACTGTTTTCTGCACAGGCGGATGTCGTCTCCAGTCAGAGTAAAAGTTCCCGGCCTCGCCGCCATTTCCATGTTCGTTTGGTTGAACAGGAAATGAGGCGTTTTCTCCGGTGGATCCAGAAAACGACTTTGGTTCTTGGAAAAGGTTCTTTGTGTGGAAACGTTCCTCGTTCCACACAGCAGATGTGGAAGTAAGGTTTCATTAAATCAAACAGAAACAGGCCTTCTCGCTGATGATCAGCCAGATTTAAAACCAGCAGAAAAAACCTGGAGCCTCTTCAACCAGCATGTCAGCAGAAACAGACGCGATCGTACAGATCACATAACGTACAGCAGGCAGTGAGGCTGAGGAAACTTTGTGTTTCCACCAGTGGAGGTAAAATACGAAGGACCTTTAATCGCTGACGTGGCTGAACCAGTTTAATGTCAACCAGTGCAGCAGGTTCCAGACTGCTAACATCACCTGGTGCTCTGACATCATTCCACACAGACGGATAATTAACTGAGCAGGAGACCAAATGATTACGGGGACAGCCTGGCTCTGACTGGAAGACCCTGAACCCCGGTTCTGACCCGCATTCCTCTGGGCGCTAATAAACCGCCGCGCAGCAACACATGGACATGTTTCACTTTACACGCTCCGCTGCTAAACCCCAGAACAGATGTTGTGACGGTTCCACATCTGTTTCCACCAACCACAGCATGGGCTCAGGTGGACGTCTGGCTCTGGAACCGGCGTGTAATTCCTGAGACTACAGCAGAGGTCAGAGGTCATAATCCTGCGTGACGACAGCACAGCTGTGTGACATGTTAAGCCAGAATCTGCCGGGTTAACAGAACCAGAAACAACCATTTCCTAGTCAGCCCAGTAGCACTGAGGCCTAGTCCAAACATACACAGATACATTTTTATAGTAGAGTTTTATATCACTAAAAATGATCATTTATAAAAACTATGGCCAGATTTGAGAAAACTGAGAACAGAGATTTATGGTCCTTCAAATTACAGTCTGCGACAAATAATGCGCTAATATTTCTACATATGTTTTAATAACTTTATATTGTGATGTTTAAAAGCAGTTTGGCGCTACACTGCCCCCTGTAGGTTTGGTTTAAAACAGCATTCAAGAGCGTATTTATGTTGGTTCATACAGATGAAAACCTTTCTGAAACCAATCCCAGTAATTTCATAAAGACAGTGTGGACAACACCTGAGAGACATGAGAGTTAAAATGGCCTCTGTGGCTTTAAGAAAATTATAAACTTATTCAGGATTTTCATAAATGAAGCTACAACAGAGATCTAACTCTGCTTCTTGAATCTCTTTCGATATTAAACCTTTTGCCGATAAATCTGAACACACCACAGCGTCATCTGCTTAAAGCGTAAATATGACTTACGTCTCTGGAAGATGCTGCGGATTTCCTGCTCGATCCTCAGGCAGATGGATTGCGTCAGCTCCTTGGATATTCTCTGGAAGGCGTCAAAGTCCTCCACCGTGTAGACGTGCGTCTCCGCGGGGGCGTTGGCGATAGCCTCCAGCTCACTTCGTACGGCGTCTTTAACGCCCACGGCAAAGATCTCCACGTCGGTGTTCCTCAGCTTGGTGGCTGGATCTTTGAAAGCGTCGGACGACTTGCCGTCGGTGATGAGGATGGTGACGCGGGGGACGTTGGCACGTGCCCCCCTGCTGGTCTGGAAGATCTTCTCCCTGACGTAGGTCATGGCCCTGCCGGTGTTGGTAGAGCCGCCGCGATACGGGAAAGTCCTCACCGCCTTGACCACGGCGTTGACGTCTTGGTGAGTGTTCAGGTAGAACTCGGTGTATGGGTCCCTGCTGTACTGCACCAAGGCGATCTGGACTTTGTTTGGGCCGATGTCAAAGGTGTTCACCAGAACTTCAAGGAAAGCTCTCACTTTGGCAAAGTTTGTCACACCGATGCTGTAGGATCCGTCAACCAGGAGCACAACGTCGGCCTGCACATCCACCCCAAGAGAGCACTCTGGATGGAAACCACAAACACAAAGTGCTGCTTTAACTCAAACAACAACAAAACATTCCTTCAGCTTTAAAAGAGTCAAACATTTTCATGGACGCACCCAGGGAGACTTTAACAGGTTCTGTCTTCTGCATGACCGTCACAGGCTCACTGGACATCAGGTCCTTCATGGCGAAAACGTTGACTTGGTACGCGGTGTCAGGAGAAAGGTCTCTGACCACCACGGAGGTCTGAGACGAGGCCAGGTACAGATCCTGCTGCTTGCTGCCGGCCATCATGGGGATTATCTGGACCCGGTAGCCTGAAACGTCTCCGCCGGAGGCGTCCCAGCTCAGCCGCATGGACTTGGAGGCCACCTCGAGGACTCGGAGGTTAGAGGCCGGATCCACGACTGCAAACACAAAACAGCTGGTTTTTATTTTGTTTCTTCTCGTCTGAAGAGTGAAAACTGCAGTAAAAAACAGAAAAACCAAACTAAAAATAAACTAAACTCAATTATAAACTAAAATAAACTCTATTAACTTTATATTATTATTGAAGCTGACTGATGATCTGAAACATGAAAGTGGTAAAAATAAGCAAAACTAGAATAACTTTTAAGGCTGTAAATACTTTTTCGCTGCTATCTCCGAGTTTAATAAAAAACAGTTCTGCTAACGCTAACCAGCTAAACCAACATGGTGTTTACTGGAAGTTAACACTAACATGCTAAACTATTTTTCAGAAGCTAACACTAAAGAACTAAACTAGCATGGTATTTAGCAGAAGCTAATGCTAAAGTATTGAGCCAACATGGCAAAGCTTCAGAAACTGATGGGTCAGAAAAAACACAGACGTGTAACTTTATTCAACTAAAAGATTATAATACAGCAAAGTAATTTAGCACTGTAAAATTAATTTAGGGGACGATAAATGTGCTAAATGATAGCAAATATGCTAATGGACTAAATGAAAAACTAGCACTGCTATTAGCAGATTAGCGGCAGTGCGCTAAAAGCTTCTGATTAGCAGTAGGTATTTATGTTTAGGATGCTTCTGTAAACGGTGATGTGATTTACTGCAGACTGGGAGAACCTGAAGCCACCGACAGGGCGGTAACCATGGCAACCCGGAAATCAATGTTTTCCCTTTCAGCTGCTTTATTATGGCTGATTAGACTCAGAAATCTGGTAATCTGTAAATTACAGGGAATCAGGCGACTGGGCAAACATGTCAGGAAACAAAGAAACTTTGGTTTTCCTGCAGCAGAGAGGAAAACAAAGACGTTTGGGAGGGGCA